GCCAACTTCTGAAGACTTTGATCCATTAACAATCTTTCGGCATTCAAAAAGACTGAAACTGGAATATACTGAAAGTTTGATAATGCCAGCAAGTTCCTGTCATAACAGGATATTTTGTTTACTTACGACTTCAAGTAAACAAAAAAACACTGTGCACACAAGTTTGAAGCCAAAACTTAATAAGGAAAGGTACAACAGAAACACATATACTGGGATGTGATAGTATGGTTGAATATCCACTATTTGGTCAAACAATATTAAGGAATAAGCAAGTAGCCACAATGGCTGATATGTATGATACAGAGCACAAAGTGCAACACCTTTGCAGGGTTGAGTAGCTGCGCATTTAACTTATGGAACTATGGGAGCTGAAGAAGGTGTCTGTGAGTTGTGACTACTTGCTTCCTTGAGTGCCGAACGGTGATGAAAACAGTCAATAGCCATACTGACACCACACCTACGTCTTAATTGTATAAGGTGGTTAGGCTCAGTCATGAGTTATCTGAAATTCTGAACAGAGCAACTTTCCAGGCTCTGTATACACCTAGTAGCAATGAGCTGCATACAAGTGAATCCAGCCAGAGATGTTGTGGCACAGGTTCTATCTTAACTATGGTTGAGCGGTTCCAGCAAAATGTACGTTCAATCTATGAATGGACGACTTGTATTCAGTACATACTTGTGTACTGACAATCCAGGCCCATACTTTATGAATATAATTTGAGAGAAAATAGTCATGACCACAAAACTAACAAACTGGAAGTCTGCAACTCAATTAAATGAACCACCCTGTGCACACACTCTAAGAGGCAAATTTGAAAGTATTGACAATCCAGACCCATTACTTGGTTAATTTATATCGTCGTTATACCAAAAGAGACAACTCGAATCACATGCAACACCAAGTAATCTTCTAGATTTGACCAAGGTACATTCTTCTAAAGAATCATTTGGCACATATCAGTTCCAAACCCACATTAGCTTAGGAGAAATGCAGATACCTCAACAGCATCAGCAACAGTTGTTGCCATGTCGTAGGTGATCTCTTCAAATGTTTCATCCAAGAAAAAGACAATTGTTGTAAGCTTCCGGCTGGTTAAAAGAGCTTCTATCTCCTCCCGCGCAGGAATTGCAACCCGTGGGCCTGCCTTAACCGAGCGTTTTAATGCATTTAGTGTGTTCAGTGCTAGAACTCGAACATCTGAATCCGTTGTGGCTCCATGAGCAATGTAGTGAACATACTCAGACAAGTATGCCCCGATATCTTTGCTTGGAGGCATGGAAGATGCACATAAATACATTAGCTCCCAAGCTCTTATCAACCAACTCCTGTAAGAACAATAAAATTACGATCCGTAAAATAAATCTGAAACCACCAGGTGCTTGTTCTACATGAGAAACCCATTACTTACCTATCAGGATTGTTACGTGTTTGTTTTGAAATCTGTGCAAATAGCTCATCTCGAAGTTCAGAACGCTTCAAAGTATGCTTGTAAAGCTTTGCAACAAGTTCAATTCTTTCTTCCAAACTTATTATTGCGGGTGAATCGACGCCCATGTACTTTAATATGACATGGAATAATTTAATTGAGCGGCTTACAAGGTCGTTAGGTACTTTCAGTAACGAAGTTGGAATAGGATCCTGCAAAAAGAGAGCATAGAAACGCTAAATTAATAAAACAAAATGGCACCCTAAGCAATTTCATGATGATTTTATAGTTCTGCATATGATATTAAAACGCGATAAGAGAACATGCTCAGGAATCAGATTGCTGCAACATGATCTCGTACATGGAATGGGTTTCAATAACATTACCTTTTGGAAACACAACATATCTTCCAAAGTGAACTTCTCACGAACTTGCGGACCCACTGATTTTTTAATAAAAAACCCACGCTTTCCAGATGATTGAATCTGTTTTTGCATTGCCTTGAGAAATCCCTCCACCTGTTATATTTCAACACTAAATTTAACATGGGACAAAATGTGACTATGGGAACCACATTCATGCTTACTGCTTACTAACTGATACTGAATAACTGTGACATACTAATAAACCTGATCCTACTAAAATGTTTCAGTGCATCTATAGAATGGTTAACAAAAGTTTCCATTGAGACTGAAAATAAGAGAAATGTAGAGAGACCCAACCCAATAAAATGGTTGCTGTTACTGTTCCTTTGAATGGAGAGTACTGTGGGACTAAGTAGGTAGAAGAAACTCCTTTTTTCTGGTAGTTTAGAAGAGAATCCAAGCATGAAAGTTATGCAACTTATCCTTAATGTAAAGAACCCACACACCCACCCCACACAAACTAATTTATAGAGAAGAACAAAATGGTACCCCGTCCCACGCATCAATAGAATAACCGATAACGGGTTGTGCATCGATGCTAAAGTTAGCATTTCGTACACTAGCAGAAGATTTCTCCCTCCCTTTCAAAATTGCCCTGAGGTATATCACGTCACTGGGTAAAGTGGGTATGCCAGAATCAAGGAGGCATGTACCTGGAACCTGTCGATTAGCGGGATTGCTCCAGCAAGCTCCGGAGGTATGGACATGGACAATGTCGATGGAGTACTGCAAAAAGCAATTCATGGTGTAAATATTGATCAGACATCGGACTGTATCTCATCAGGTAACCAAAAGCTTGCATGCCGAATGTGACAGGAAAGACAAAACATGGAATGTTGAGACCGTCTCCAATTGGAAATAACCATTATATTGCGGTGCGGTGGGTCATGATTACGAGCCCAACAAACATAACCGATTGTAGCGACATTAACCCTGAATAAATAAACAAGTTCCCGTCGGAACCCAACCTTTCTCCGCTTTCCACCAGTCTGGGAAAACTTTTCTGTTATGAAACAAGCTTAGAAAATTCAAATCCTGGGACGCACACAACTCACCATAAGGCGTAGCATGCGTAAGCAGCAACATCCTAGGATAGTTATGCCAGAATCGAAACAGGTTCAGAAAGTAGTACTATTATTCCACCAAGCAAAATACTAACGACCGAATTAGGTACAGGAGACGGGCAAAGAGCTCCTCAATTCGAAAAAAAAAAAAGATGCGCGAGACGGCGGAGGAGGCTGGGGCTACTCACGGCGGCGCGAAGCTGTAGCTGCCGTCGCTGTCGTACCCGTCGGCGCCGTTGGCGCCGGCGGGCGCCGCGGAGCCGTGCAACGGCGTGGCGGCCGCGGAGCCGTTGACGGAGCCGCCGAGGTGCTGCTGCTGCTGCGGCGCGGCCGACGCCATCCTCGCCTCCCCGGCGGCGG